ATCGGCGAAATTTTGCCTTCAATGACCTCTGGTGACCTGACCTTTGACCTGACCAAAAAATTGACCGAAGCGATTTCGTCATTATTTTTGACGCTCTTTCGAACGCCGCCTTCTGCGTATCGCTACGTGGCCCAGGAGCCGAGTTACAAGGGGGGGTGTTCAAACACCCCCCCCCCCAGCAGGGCGTGGAAATCCAGGACCCCCAGCCGGGCGCCTAATTTCAGGTATTCAAAGTAATCTTGAACCGACCTGTGACCTCGGAACTCCACTTGAAGGTACTCATCAGAAGCCTCTCGTAGCGTTATTTTGTTTGCTGCCTCGCCCGTTTCGCTGCGCCTCGAGCTATGGGCTATGGGTTCTCGAGCTATGGGCTGGGAAAGTTCTCTCCCACCCCCACCCAGCAAGTGGTGTGTGGCGAAATACTCCAGCAACTGCCGGGTTAACCCTCGCCCGTATTGGTGTTTTGCCAGCCTCGAAGGTATAGGGGGGCGGGCGGGTCCGTTGGACCGCCCCCTTGCCGTTTGGCCCCTGATCGAGCTAGAGTTCGAGAAAAAATTTAAGGTCCTAGGTCATTGGTTGACCTTCCAGGTCAGGTCAATGACCCACAAGTCTGGAAAATCGGGACCTATTAGAACATCGTAAAGTGAGGTTGATGAGGGTTTTTCGGGGTGCTGATCACGAATATCGTGTTAGTTTTGATCACAGATGATGTCTTGATGCATTTAGGCCAGGTCAGGTCAGGCCAATCAGTAGGTAGACGTCCTGCCAGGTATTCATAGTACGTGTCAGCCGTTACTGACAGCTTCGTAACATGTTACGAAGACACCAAAACAACTTCATAAATGCTCAAATGGTTGCTTAATTCGAAATCAGCTCCAAAAAGTAGCCTAGAACTCGAAGAAGTGAACCTAGGTCATCAAAGGTTAATGATCTGACCTGACCTTCAGGTGACCTTGACACCCACCATAATGCATGGGACCAACATCATATCACATGTTTGAACGCTTGAAACCGCAAAAATACTGCAAACGCGCGGCTAATACGAGCCGACATACGCCGAATCGCGATTCCGGCCAAACATGGTCTCGAAAAATAGGCCACAGGTCAAGGTTCATTTGGGACAGGGTCATGAACTTTTAGGGGTAAGTGTACAATTGATTGACTCGACATAACTGAAAGTTTCATCGCGATCAACCGCTTTTTACGCGAGTTATTCGCGAAAAACCATGGGGGTGGGGGTCCGTTCGACCCCCCCCCCCTATACGGGCGAGGGTTAACCCTCGCCCCGTTGGGGGGGGCCATTTTGGCCCCCCCTGTGGTTTTTCCTGAATAGCAAGAAAACGGCGGCGCGCAGCGCCGCCAAATTTTCAGTACCTTCCCGGGCATCAATTTGACACCTTCACACAAAATTTCAAGTCTTAGGTCACCTTAGGTCAGGAGTTATTGAGGTCAAACTGAGGTCATGTTCGAGCAAAAATGAGCAAAAAACATGCAATCTTGAAACGCTCACCAAATCTACAGTTATCAAGCAATTTCAAAGTTCTTTATATGGTCTTGTAGACAAAAAGTGGCGCTACAAAACTACTGTCTCGGATTTTCAAAATTTTTGGTTTTTGACCAAAAAAAATTCAAAAAATTGATTTTTTTAGAAAAACTTTGAAAAAATCCAAAATTTTCCAACTTTCGAAAAAACCGGAATATATGTGATAGTCCCAGCGCTCTTCTATATACATACCAAATTTCAGATCGATATCTCGTTTTTTGGCCAAGTTATAGCGAAAAAACTGTTCAAAAATGATGACGTCAAATTTTTGAACTCAATTTTTAGCAATTCTAGACCACGTACGGCAAAACAAAGACCACCATTGAACTCCCCGTGACGAGTTGCATCGATTCGATACCCATTTTATGCAAAAATATTAACTTTGAAATTTGACCTAATTTGACCTGACCTTGACCTGACCTTGACCTGACCTTGACCAAAACGTGATCTAAGCTGGCCCCAAAGGCTGCCTGACCCATATAATCGCATTTGTCATGTAAAATGGACCATAAAACATGTATCACACGACACTTTCATATTGTGACCCCCCCGTGACCTGACCTCTGTGACCTGACCTGGTATCAGTGACCTCAAATAGCAAAATATGTGTTTGAAGAACATTTCCCCATCGATGATTTTCAAAGAAATACATTTTACTCGATTTTACAACGCATTTCTTGAAGTGCCTGTAAACGGTGAAAATTGGACCTTTGACCTGACCTGTGACGTCATCGGTTTGACCTAGGTCAATAAAATTGGGCCACAAGGTAGTTCCCCGTTGGGGCTATCCAACGCCGTTTACCGCTTGTCGCTATGTTGCGTGGTTCTCGAGATCTTAGGGGGGGGGGCCAAAATGCCCCCCCCAACCGGGCGCGTTGCTCGGCAGAGCCCAACGGGGCGCGGGTTAAGTCAGTTAAATTTCTTTCGCAGTTTTCAATTTAATTTACGAATTATGTTCCGGCAGCTATAGTCAAAATGAGCAGAATGCTGCTCAATGCACCAAGCGCAACTTCGTTCTCCGGCCCGCAGAGAGCGGGGATGTAAGTCAGGCACGGCCTTGGCCGTTTCCTCTGGGGCCGCGCCGTCTGCCGAGGGAGGGGAGACCTTGCCCAGTCTGAGGGAGGGGGACGACGGCGCCACCGGGACGCCCCGTCGCTCCGAGACCGGCGCTCACTGTATAAACAAGCAAAAAACGCTGGCCGTGCAAAGCTTGGCTGTGCTTTGACAGAGGAGGCATCTAGTGGAATATTTCGTAACTACACAAACTTCTAACAAAGATGTCGCTTGAAGCGCGGTTGAGATTGTAGGTTTTGATCCAACTGAAAATTGACATCTCAAGGACGACGAAATGATGTAAATTTATATGAAATGGTTTTGTATGATGCGTACTTTGATTAATGCCATTAATTTTCCACTGCCTTTTTGTGTGAAACGATTTTGTACCTTGCGATTCTGTATGACACAATTTTGTATGCTGCGCTTTTGTATGTTTTGACTGTCCCCTACCCGGCCTGTTTTGTAGGTTTTGCCCGTTGTATGTTACGATTTTGTATGTTTTGATGATTGTATGATAAGATTTTGTATGCTTTGATATGGAGCCGCAACAACAGGCCCCGACGGCGTCAGCATTATCGCAACACAATTCGGAAAAGGGCTGGTTATAACCAAGGACCCTTTTATGGCGCATGACCGAAACGGTAGCTGCTTGTTATTCGCAAAGCCTTAAAGAGTAATTCACTTTCCTGAAGTTAGCTTTTTGCAATGGCTTTATGATTTTATGCTCAAAATGAGCAGAAATTTAAATAAAACCTTTAAGAATTATTTTCTTTATTTTAATCTAGGAAGCACTATATTCTCAATAAAATAATGTTTGACGCGGAAGCTTATTACGCGTTGACCAATCTTATTGCGTTCCAACCTACGCATGCTGCATTGGTTGTTGCATGCTGAATAGCTGTCGATGACGTGGCTGCATCCCTCAGCAAGGGACGCATTCCTCTGCAAGGCACTCTTTACGGAACAAGAATTGGAATCGGATAATTTGTTTAACCCGCGCCGGGGGGGGGGGGTGTTTGAATACCCCCCTGCGGTTTTTCGCAGATATATCAAAAACGGCGGCGCCGAGCGCAGCCGTTTTTGGCACACCTGTTCGTGCATCTTTTCCGCACATGTTGTGAAAATTTCAGACCCAGGTCGCCTTAGGGTTAGGTCAGCTGTCACCAGGTCACGCCAAGTGACCTCACCTCAGAAAAAAAATAAGAATGCTCGTCATAGCTACACCGATTGATCGATTGCCTTGAAACTTCCAGCGATTGATTAGAGCAACGTTATCTATAAAATGTATATCTCGGAATTTTGATATCGGTGACCTAAGGTCAGGTCAATTTTGCGGCCTCTCCATTATAAGTCAATGGGAGAAAATTGAAAGCGTCTGTTTTGCACGAACGCTATTCTAGACACTCTTTTACTTCCTTTTACGGGACTTCCCTGCGACGTCAGGGAAGTCCCGGTCCTGATGACCCCTGCGACGTCATCTTTGACCTGACCTGAAAATGACCTCGGTAAAAATTGTAGACCTTATCCGTGTGAATCCTGTACCGTTTACCGCTTGTCGCTATCTTGCTTTATTCTCGAGATCTCGCTGTCGCTCCCGCTCGTAACAATGGACAGGTCATAAAAATGACCTAACCTGAGGTTAACGCAGACGGCGGCGGCCCGACGTCGGCTGGACGTCGGTATATGCGGACGTACCCGACGTCCAGCCGATGTCGGGCCGAGGTTGAACCGACGTTGGGCCGACGTCGGCATGTTTACTGGGCTGTTCCCCATTGTCCGTTCGTGTCACCATCGTCCGACTGCCGGTCTATTTTACCCCTGGTCGGCTGGTTACCGGCCCGGTCCCGTGTAACTGCCGTCCTGCTGGTTACCGGTCCGTGTACCCGCCGTCCCGCTGGTTACCGGTTCGCATTACCGTCGTTGGGCTGGTTACCGGTTCGCATTACCGTCGTTGGGCTGGTTACCGGTTCGTGACGTCGCCGCTGTTACGGCGCAGAGGACCGCAGACCGATCGATGGAGAGTGTCGGCTCCGACGGCCGTCGGCGACCCACCTGACGGCTCGTGACCCGGCCGACCAGACGGTCCCCATGACCCGGCCGTCCAGAGGGCCCCAGCCGTACAGCTGATCACACGGCCCCCTAGCCCGACCACATGACCCCACACCCCCACCCCGCCCTACAAGGGCAACCAAACCCAGAAGTTTACAGCAGTGGGTCAGTTTAGGATGAGTGCATGCATGCCGTAATCGCGGCACTGCGAGTGTCTAATGGTGTCCCGCCAGCCGACGTGGCGGGGCAGACCCGACGCCTGTCGAGTCTGAGGTAGGCTCTGTCGGTGGTCCTGCCTGAGCTCAGGATCGTCGGCGGTTACTTAGAGGGCACTGGGCTGACTGTCACTGACCTGCTGCATAGGCGGTGGCCTGGCCGTGGTTACCACTACTGTGGGTCACTATGCCAGGCACATCGGGGCGGCGCTCCTTGATGGCAAACACCTGCCGACAAAACACCGACAAACAAACGTCAACAAACAGTAGCCCGCGTCCTATTGGAGTATTTAAACCCCGTGGTTTTCCGCGAATTGGCGCCGTTTTCGGCACACTAAATCAATTACATCTTCTCTGCACATGTTGTGAAAAATGCAGATTAAGGTCGCGCAAGGTCATGTCACCAGATCACGTCAAGTGACCTTTCACCTTACCTCATAACAAGTTTCAATGCCTGCCATAGCTACACCGAGTGACCGGTCGCTTTTAAACTTTCAGCGATAGATAAGAGCAACAATATGTCCATGCAAAATGTGTCTCAGAATTTCGATATGGGTGACCTAAGGTCAGATCAATTTCGTGACCCCTACATTACCATATAAATCAATAGGAGAAAATTGATTTGCCCCTTGTTCATTCAGCTATAATCCCACCGTGCGCTTGAAGAACTGTTGAACATTTGCTAAGACCGTGCCTCAGGCTATCCACAGCACAGCTGTCCGTTAGTCACATGACCTAACTCGGTCACCTGACCTTGACACTTGCGAGGCGCCAGGGGCCAGTGTTTGACAGACGTAACTCGCACCTGAACGTGGTGTCTATTGTGACGAAAGAAACTCTTTGACAAAGCGCCATCGCGCTGAAGTTATGGTGAAGACTGGAATGAAGAAGAAAGTCAAATAGAATCATCTGTCCTAATCCCAATCGAAAACCTAATGGGGAATCATAAAGGAGTAACTCAGCAAGATTGAACCAGCTCCCACAGAAAACGAACTTTAGAGGATCCTGTGAAAGGTGCGACTGAACATCATCGCGGATAATCTGGACATCCTGATCTATGGAATACCAAAGCGCACGAGGGAATGGGTAGGACAGGGCAGGGGATAAATCGGTAAAGAAACCATAACCAGGGGGCTCTTTGTTTATTAATTATGGCGGCGAGCTGATGGAGGGGCAAATAATTTCCGGACACCCTGTATAAACACTCAATCAATCAATCAATCAATCATGTATTGAGTCCTCCATGTGAATGGTTTTTCAGTGCTCTCGTCATACAATCATTCACAATCTATAAAACTACAAGTGGGTATAAAACACACATCAATAAGAATGACGCACAGTATAAAAGTAAAGAGAATCGTCTGTACCAGTAAGATACTCAGATGGCAAAATGTGAAGTTAAGAATGCACAATACGCGGGTAAAAAGTAGACAAAGTAAATAAAAGTGAGCAGCGCAAAAAAAAATCATCAAAAATACATCACAGCTTGTTTGCCAGAAAGCTAACGATGGAGACCGTTCCACGATTTTACTGCTCTAAAATGAAAAGTACGCCTGCCTCGCTCTGTTCTAATTTTAGGCAGGTCCAGCTGATCCCCACATGTGCCGCGAGTGAGCCTCCTATTCACATCAGAGCGACGCATCACGAGTCCAGCTAGAGATGGCGGCGCATCCGACGAGAGAATCCTACGCAGCATCGCTATGTCTCGGTCCTCCAACATCTTGTCAAACTTCGGCCATTCGAGAGCTTCCAGAGCTGCGCTAATGTGGTCGCGTTTAGACAGTCCTGTTACAATGCGCGCCGCGAAGTTAATGGCCTTCTGCACACGTCGCCTCTGGGTTGCGCAGCAGCCTCCCCAGACGGTACAACAGTACATTATGTGGGGGAATACAAGGGCCTCGATAAGCATCTTTTTTACTTCATACGGTAGCTTATGTCTCAACTTAGATAGGCCGACTAGTACATGGTAGCAGCGGCGGGTCACCAACGACACCTGCTTCTCCCAGGTCAGTGAAGCGTCAAAGAACACGCCTAAAATTTTGATCTCGTGACTAGGTTTAATTTCGCAAATGCCAAAGTCAATAGTAAAATTTGCACTACATATTTTTCTCTGCGGCTTTACTAGCAAAAGTTCAGTCTTAGTTGGGTTGATTTTTAGCCTGTTCTGGGTGTACCATCGGAGAGCCACCTCCAAAGTACACTCCATACGCCGTTTTAGGTCGTCCAAATTAGAAACCGTATCAGAGTCAATAAACTGAATGTCATCGGCGTACATGACCTGCTTGCCACTGGGTAAATGAGACATAAGGTCGTTAGTAAAAAGTAAAAACAATTTTGGACCCATTAGTGACCCCTGTATCACGCCGTGTGTCACTGGTAGTGCCCCAGCGCTGCTACCCTGCATCCTCTGACTTCTGCCGTACAACCAGTCACGAAACCAGTGATCGCTCACGCCGTACCAGCCTAGTTTTACAAGCAACCGCTCATGTTCAACGCTATCAAATGCACGAGACGTGTCTGCGGCAAGCAATGCACATACGCAGTTATTTTCCAAACAAGCTGATATGTAACTAAGTGAATCGATTAAAGCAGTTTCAGTTGAATGCCCGTTACGAAACCCATGCTGATTATCACATAAAACATGATGTTGGTCTAGATAAGATGAAAGTTGATTGCTAACACATTTTTCACAAAGTTTGCCAGGTACGCTGTTGATGGATAGAGGCCTATAATTGCCGGGGTCACATCGGTCACCTTTCTTGTGCAGCGGCACGACACACGCCTCCTTCCATTTCTCTGGTACCTCTCCTGTTTGCAGCGAACTGTTTATCACGTGGAGCAGATGTGGCCCCGTCACGGCGAAGGTGGCCCTCAGCATCTGCACTGTCACTCCGTCCACCCCACATGCCCGCGAGCTGCTCATGCCTCTCAGACCGTGTGACAGCTCGGGGAGCGTCACCACATGCACCTTAAACGCTCCGCTGATGACACGGGGCGGTCGAGGCGACAGTGGCGTCCCCTGCGCGGTCGCGGACAGGGCAGTGGCGACATCTGCACCGGCCGACACGAAGTGGCGGTTCAGTCGCTCCGCCCAGGCCGTGTCAGTGTGGTGCAGCGGCGCGGCTCTCGGCTCGGGTTTCCTTGATGCGATGAGGTGTCGGCGGATGTCCGTCCACGATGTCGTCCGTCTGTTTCGATACGAGGTAGTGAAGTATTCAGCACAGGCCTTGCGCTGAACTTTCTTGACGGTGTTTCTGCACTCTTTAAACCGCTGCTGTTTCACGGTGTTGAGTCGGTCTTGGTCGCGGGCCTCCCTGGCTCGATCTCGCTGCTCCATGCTGTCTCTCAGCTCCTCGTTCTCATGAAGCCAGGGACAGGGCTGGTGTTTTACCCGAATGGTTCGCAAAGGCATGTGCTTGTCCAGGATGGGCTGCCACACCTGCAACCACTGCTCCCACTTGGCCGCGGTGGTTGCGGCGCTATACACAAGGCTCCAGTCTGCCATAAGTAGGTCAAAGTTGAGACCGTCCCAGTCGACGCGTCGTGTCGAGCGCACTGTGATTGTCTGTGCATGCTGGCGCGCCCGTTTGATGGAGATGTTGACAGCGACAGCATCATGATCGCTGAAGCTGCAGTCGATGACCCTGGGATGAGAGGTGAGCTCCGGCCGAGACGTCACCACGTGGTCAATCAGCGTCGCAGTAGATGGCGTCGTGCGAGTCGGTGAGCTGATCACCTGACAGAGGGACAACTCGTCCAGCAGAGTCTGGTACTGCTGAACCCCCGTCGACGTCGGCTGCAGCAAGTCGATGTTGACGTCGCCCAGAACGTACAGTGGGTGCTGTTTGGCGAGCTGTGACGTCAGCTGGTAGTTCAGGTCGTCCAGTACCGGTGAGATGGGCGATTTCGGCGGCCGGTACAACACTCCAACAATGAATACCGTGCCCCCGACAAACCGCATCCACAGCGACTCCAACTGCGACCCGGTGCTTGGCACGTCCAACACTTCCGCCTGCATCGAATCCCGGTAGATAACACAGACGCCCCCGCCATGTGATTTGCGATCACATCGCTCTATCACATAACCGGGAAATACAAGATATCGATTATCGACCGCCTCACTGAGAAACGTCTCACCGACGCACAGAATGTCTAGCTTGTGCCTCTCCAAGAGGAGATTGACATCGTCTATGGACGGCATGAGATGGTTGATGTTGATGTGAGCCAGATGAAGCTGATGGGATCTCACTGGCTCCGTGCCGGTGACTTGGTGACGTAACGTTCTCCGTAGGGAGAGTCTAGTCGGTACTGTAAGGTATCGCTCGGTAGTTGCAGCCCTCCCAGTCTCCGCTGTCGTGATCCTGGCCTCTCTTCGTCGCCGGTGCTGTATGCGTCGGCCAGCGCGCACACCTCTGTGCGTGCCGCGGCGCCGGGGCCGCTCGGCGCACGGGGCCGCCCGTTCCCGTGGCGCCGGCCGTGCGGCGCCGGCCGACCACGGGCGGTGAGGGCGGGCGACCTGCCACTCGGGCCGGAGCAGCGGCCGGCCGGCCGGGCCAGAAGTGACGTAGACAGCGGTGGCATTGCCCCAGCTCGGGTGAGCCGGCCACAGCGGCGGCGGCTGTCCTTGACATGTCGGTAGAGTACGGTGGATGGTGACGAGCGGCCCTGATTGGCCCATCGCCCGGTTCCACCTCAAACAACGAATTATAAGTAGACGTGACACACGAAACTGGAAAATGTCACCCATAGCCCCTCTTTATGTTCCTGGGGCCATCGCAGGTCACGAATGGTATAAGAATGGTATAAGAATGGTGTAGATGAAAACGCCTTGGCTGTGTTCAGCTCGACGATACGGAGCGACCCGGTCAGGTCATGATCTTGACCTGGGTTCAAATTTTCAAGTTGACGGTTCAAGTTCAAATTGCCTATATGACGCTTGACGAGAGGGATATGGCGCTTGACGAGAGGGAAACGATGTCGGCAAAAGTAAACTCGTTCACGTCAACGTTATTGCAGAAAAAAACTGTTTTCGCAAAAATCGTCCATTTTCTGTTTTGTTTTTACTGTCGACATTTTACCTGAAATTTAGCGAAGTTTGACCTTCGATTAGGTACCTCTAAAGACCTGACCTTTGACCTGTCGAAGAAATGATCGAAGTAATTTCGTCATTATTTTTGACGCCCTTTCGAACGCCGCCTACCCCGTATCGCTACGTGGCCACGGGTGCC